ACCTTCATGTATATCATTACTTGGTCATTACCAATCTAAACTTGCCCAATCTTCATGTATATCATTACACAGTCATTACCAATCTAAACTTACCCTAACTTCATGTATATCATTACACATTCATTACCAATCTAAACTTATCCTAACTTCATGTGTACCATTACACAGTCACTACCAATCTAAACTTGCCCTAACTTCATGTATATCATTACACAGTCACTACCAATCTAAACTTGCCCTACCTTCATGTATATCATTACTTGGTCATTACCAATCTAAACTTGCCCAATCTTCATGTATATCATTACACAGTCACTACCAATCTAAACTTGCCATTCATTTATGTATATCACTACACAGTCACTACCAATCTAAACTTGCCCTAATTTCATATATATCATTACACAATCACTACCAATCCAAACTTGCTCTAACTTCATGTATATTGTTACCAATTTAAACTTGTCCTAAGTTCATGTGTACCATTACACAGTGACTACCAATCTAAACTTGCCCTAACTTCATGTATATCATTACACAGTCACTACCAATCTAAACTTGCCATTCATTTATGTATATCGCTACACATTCATTACCAATCTAAACTTACCCTAACTTCATGTATGTCATTTCACAGTCACTACCAATCTAAACTTGCCCTAACTTCATGTATATCATTATACAGAAGTTTAGATTGGTAGTGATGATATACATGAAGTTAGGGCAAGTTTAGATTGGTAGTGACTGTGTAATGATATACATGAAGTTAGGGCGTAAGTTTAGATTGGTAATGATTGTGTAGTGATATACATAAATGAATGGCAAGTTTAGATTGGTAGTGACTGTGTAATGATATACATGAAGTTAGGGCAAGTTTAGATTGGTGGTCACTGTGTAATGATATACATGAAGTTAGGGCAAGTTTAGATTGGTAACGATTGTGTAGCAACACATGGGTTATGTATAACATTAACTAAACAACACGAGTTATGCATAACATTAACTAGCTACCCTGTTAACTTGATACATAAAGAAGTGAATTACAAAGTCCACTATAGAAATGAGTTCAAATAAATACTCTGTAACAACATTCGGCTGAAGAGCTTTATCAATTGTTAACACAGTACAGAAGTATACCCTCATGGATGACTTCTTCTCTCCTCATTACACGATACTTTGCATCCTTCTTCAGGACTCCTTTGACACAACGACAGCCTGCAATAGGGATCTTTTTTTTTCCTTCTGTTACTAGAAACTCCTCCAGAACATTGGCCTCACCTCGAATGTAAACATGTTTATCATATAACAATGATGTAGACATAAGGCCTCACCTCAGATGTAAACATGTTGATCATATCACAATGATGTGGACATAATCAGTTCTTAAACTAATAAACTGTTTTTGTAGAACAAACCTCAAGACAACCTTTAACTTGATTGTAACAATATTCTTTTAGGTAATTCCCCCTAATAATGGTAATGATTGTGTAGTGATATACATGAAATTAGGGCAAGTTTAGGTTGGTAATGATATACATGAAGATAGGGCAAGTTTGGATTGGTAGTGACTGTGTAGTGATAATCACGAAGTTAGGGCAAGTTTGGATTGGTAGTGACTGTGTAGTGATATACATGAAATTAGGGCAAGTTTAGGTTGGTAATGATTGTGTAATGATATACATGAAGATAGGGCAAGTTTGGATTGGTAGTGACTGTGTAGTGATATACATGATGTTAGAGCAAGTTTCAGTTGGTAATGATATACATGAAGATAGGGAAAGTTTAGATTGGTAGTGACTGTGTAGTGATATACATGAAGTTAGGGCAAGTTTAGATTGGTAGTGACTGTGTAATGACATACATGAAGTTAGGGCAAGTTTAGATTGGTAATGATTGTGTAGTGATATACATAAATGAATGGCCCTAAACAACACATGGGTTATGTATAACATTAACTAAACAGCACACTGGTTATGTATAACATTCATTAAACAACACATGGGTTGTGTATAACAACTGAACAACACACGGGTTATGTATGACATTATCTAAACAACACATAGGTTATGTATGACATTATCTAAACAACCCACGGGTTGTGTATAACAACTAAACAACACATGGGTTATGTATGACATTATCTAAACAACACATGGGTTATGTATAACATTAACTAAACAGCACACTGGTTATGTATAGGTTGTGTATAACAACTGAACAACACATGGGTTATGTATGACATTATCTAAACAACACATGGGTTATGTATAACATTAACTAAACAGCACACTGGTTATGTATGGGTTGTGTATAACAACTGAACAACACATGGGTTGTGTATAACAACTGAACAACACATGGGTTGTGTATAACAACTAAATAATGTCATACATAGCCAGTGTGTTGTTTAGATAATGTCATACATAACAAAACACACATGTTGCTGAGTTGGTGTTATACATCATAATCTGTCTGATGCTCAGTTAGTGTTATAAGTAACCCATCTTTTGCTCAGTTAATGTTATATATAACTCGTGTTGTTTAGTTGTTACACATAACCCGTGTGTTGTTTAGATAATGTCATACATAACCAGTGTGTTGTTTAGATAATGTCATGCATAACCAGTGTGTTGTTTAGATAATGTTAAATTCGTTCCGACGAAACTTTAGCGACACAAGTCCTTTCTTAAATAAAACTGGTTTATTCTTTCCGAATACTACTTTACGATACACTCAACTCAACGGTCACGCTATAACAAACTATAATTCACGTCTCACGAGCTCGACTTCAACAATACATCTCTCTCTGACTGCAGTTCAATTACTCATTACCTACACAAATTGTCACGTCACACTGTGACCATCTTATATATACCAGACCACCCACAATCTAGCAAAAGCTAGAGCATTCCGAAGGAACAGGATAGTTCTAGAAAACGGGTGGCGTGATACTAGTCACGTGATCTCGCTTACGCAACAATACTATAAAGATCTAAATGTATGAATTTTTTTTAAATTCTAAATAATTAAATTATCTATGGCAGGATGGGTAAACCACAGGGTTTATCTTTTGATAAACATAGAATAACAATCTAAATGTATGCAAATTTTTTTTTAGCTCTAAAGTACTAAGTTTATCCATGGCAGTGTGGCACAGTTGGGTAAACTACAAAGTTTGTCTTTTGATACAACAAAGTTCATCTTTTGTAACAAGATAGTATAACAATATCACTGTATGAATTTTTTTTGTTTCAGTTCTAAAACACTAAATTTATCCATAGTACTGTGGCATGGTTGGGTAAACTACAAGGTTCATCTTTTGATACAACATAGTATAACAATCTCACTGTGTGAATTTTTTTTCTTAGCTCTAAAGTACTAAATTTATCCATGGCAGTGTGGGTAAACCACAAGTTTTATCTTTTGATACAACATAGTATAACAATCTCACTGTATCAATATTTTTTTTAGTTCTAAAGTACTAAATTTATCCATGGCATGATGGGTAAACCACGGGGTTTATCTTTTGATACAACGTAGTATAACAATCTCACTGTATCAATTGTTTTTTTTTGGTTCTAAAGCACTAAATTTATCCATGGTAGTGTGGCACGATTGGGTAAAATACAAGGTTCATCTTTTGATACATTAAGGTATAACAATCTCACTGTGTGAATTTTTTTTATTAACTCTAAAGTACTAAATTTATCCATGGCAGCATGGGTAAACCACAAGGTTTATCTTTGGATACAACATAGTATAACAATCTCACTGTATTAATATCTTTTTTTACTTCTAAAGCACTAAATTTATCCATGGCAGTGTGGCAAGATTGGGTAAAATACAGTTTGTCTTTTGATACAACACAGTATAACAATCTAAATCTATGAATTTTTTTTGGCTCTGAAGTACTAAATTTATCCATGGCAGTGTGGTTAAACCACAAGGTTTATCTTTTGATACAACATAATATAACAATCTAAATGTATGAATGTTTTTTCTTAGCTCTAAAGAACTAAATTTATCCATGGCAGTGTGGCAAGATTGGGTAAAATACAATGTTCATCTTTTGTAACAAGATAGTATAACAATATCACTGTATGAATTTTTTTTTTGTTTCAGTTCTAAAAAACTATATTTATTCATAGTAGTGTGGTATGGTTAGGTAAACTACAAAGTTTGTCTTTTGATAAACACAGTATAACAATCTAAATGTATGAATTTTTTTTTAACTCTAAAGTTCTAAATCTGTCCATGGCAGCGTGGGTAAACCACAAGGTTTATCTTTTGATACAACATAGTATAACAATCTCACTGTATGAATGTTTTTTTAAAGTTCTAAAGCACTAAATTATCCATGGCAGTGTGGCATGGTTGGGTAAACTACAAGGTTCATCTTTTGTTAACACATAGTATAACAATCTCACTGTATGAATTTTTTTATGTTCTAAAGCACTAAATTTATCCATGACAGGTGTTGGGTAGTTCAGATCACCCAAACAACAAAGTACATAAACGTGCTGCCACAATTCCCATGTAATCCTATGTAAAGAATATATATATATATATATAGGTTTTATTAATCATGTGTATAGAATTACCAAGTTGAAAACTATAAAACTTCTATACTCCAATCAACTATCAGAACTATTATACTCCACCCTAGATGGAGATAATCTGACTTTTGTACCTCAGTCAAACTTGCTGTAGTACCAAATTTACACCCTATGTTCAATAAAATGACTCTTCTTATGCTATTTTCCTTTTGGTAATTTTTATCTTTTTCAGGTATAAGAGAAATTGTTTAGACAGATGGCGATAGCACTGCATGATATACCTTAAATTAGAGAATTAAACACATACAAAGAAATTGTAGCCTTTGATAACATAACTTTATATTCCTAGCATATTGTATGGATTGACTGTACAACATAATATGTCAGCTAATTTGAGTAGAGAAGGTTGAGTAGTAACACTGTTCACAGGGACATTCATTTTGTTTTATACATTAGAAGTCTGCTCAAAATCCAGGATCCCAATCTGTTTTCTGTGGAACTTGACTAACTTCATAACATACTATGATGTCTCCTTGCTGAAACCGGATGGAAACATCCTCAAATTTTAGACCACATTCAACATCCTTTTTGATGTTCTCTACTTCATTCTTTAAGTGTCTCATGGAAGAGAGGGTTCCTAACATAAGAAATACATGTCATATTTAATCTCATCTGAAATGGCACATCTAACATTATTGGTAAAATATTATGAAGTCAAGGAATGGATACAAGTATTAATGTCTATGTAAAATTAAAAGATTTATACCTGATGTTCTTAGAGAATGTTTGGAATTGAAAAATGGTAGGGAAACATGGAAGTTTTAGACATTAGTAATAGGTTAACAACAGTGTGTGACAAAGGAAGCTGAGTTCACTTTGTCACAACATATTGGTTTTAATCTAGACATGATTTCTATGGAAGAAGCGAGGAAAAATAAAAACTGGCAGAGGAGGACAGAGCAGCATGAAAAAGAACAGATAAATTGGCTATAACAGGAACTGAGGAAAACATACTCAAAAAACTATCATCACACTATATAATTCAGTCTAATGTAAATGGATCTGAAGTCCAGCAGTCTAGCACTAAACTATAACTCAGTCGATCAAAACCTCATCCAAAGTCAAACTAATTATAACCAAACAATAACTCAGTTTTAGCACAATATGCAATCATTCAAAATAGATATCCCACAAAACTAGTATAATAGAAGCTGGAAATCACACATATCAAATACAACTGACTAATTTCATATGTATTATGTATAACACTAGCTGAGCAACACATGGGTTATGTATAACACTGAGCAGCGAATAGGTTGTGTTTAACAGTAACTGACCATGACATAGGTTATTTTTAATACTGACGAGGCATAAGACAGGTTGTGGTGTATAACACTAACTCAGTGACACAGGTTATTTATAACATTAACTGAGAAACATAATTATTATTTATAACACTAACTGAACAACATGGGCTATGTATAATTAACCGAGCAACATGAGTTACTTATAACACTGAGCGTCACGGAGGTTATGTATAACACTGACTAAGGAACACATGGGTTATATATAACATTAACTGAGCAAAAGATGGGTTACTTATAACACTAACTGAGCATCAGACAGATTATGATGTATAACACCAACTCAGCAACATGTGTGTTTTATATAGCATTAAGTGAGCATCAGATAGGTTATGATGTATAACACTAACTAAAAAAACACACGGTTTATGTATTAGTTGCTGCTGACTTTCCTGCAATTGTTGGATACTTTCTTCCTGTTTCTTTTCTTTTTCCTCCAGCAACTGCTGTAATCTCTCTTGTTTAATTTGCTGTTCGAGCTGCCATTGTTGTAGGTTTTCTTGCCACTGCTGTAATCTTTCTTCTTGTTTCTTTTCTTTTTCCTCTAACAACTGTTGTAATTTCTCTTCTCGTTCTTCTTGTTTCTTTTGCTGTTCTTGTATTGCTGCCATCAAGTCTGCTTGGCTGTAGTTTGGTTTGCTGCTTCTCGTTTCCATTTTTTTTTTTTGTCCCACTCTCTGACACCAATTTGTTACGTCTCCGTTTGTTAATTGATTTTCCAGTGCCTGTCGTCTGCTGACAACTGTCCAAGTATTTCCAGTGGTTGTCCCTTCAAGCTCGTTGCCAGATATACTGCTTTCTTTTCCTCTGTCCATCCATTCATCTCTGCCAGTAGCTCAAATTGTGCTCTATATGCTTCCCATGGTGCTTTCCCATCATATTCCTGTGGCTTCCTTCATACTGGATCACTCCTAGTACTGACATTCATATCTGGGATGTGACTTCTAACGGGACTGAATATGTCTGCATTAGGGTTTAGCTGCAGGGTCTGGATAGGGCTTGTCATTGTCTGGGGCTGGTTAAGTCGATGGTTAATATATCCTCCTTGTGTAACAGACACTAAATCGTCCTTTAACGTATCTAATTCGCTTTAAATTTACTAATGTTTTCCATTTGTACTTCTTGCCACTGTTGTTGACTTTCCTGAAACTATAGATCACTGGTAGCGGCTCTAGAACTCAGGTATGGAACCCAAAATCAGTCTGAAGACTACAGGGCTAGGTTTAGGACGAGAGTCCGTGCTAAAGAGGAGAGCCTGCAAGAGCTGGCACAGAACTTGGAAAGTATGGCACACAAGGCCTACCCAACTGCACCACCCAATCTCCTCAAGTTGTTGCTGAGAGATCAGTTTGTAGACGCCTTGGACAGTCCACAACTTA